ACCCACAAACGTTGATTTGTTTCCTCTATTTAGCAGGTGCAGGCCTAGCTTTGCGGCCCAGTCTTCCACTTCCTCTCCCCGCCTGTCCACCATTCCGGGATCCCCATAATTGGGATTTGGCGTTGAAATCACCGGCGATGATGACAGGCTCCGGGAGGTACCGTCTAACGGCCCTCCCGATTTCTTGGAGCCTAGACCTATAGCTCGGTAGGTCCAGGCTCTTAGTTGGGGGGAGGTATACCCCGACCACTATCAGGACCCCCCACCTGGCCACGACAAATCCCCTCCCTTTGCCTAACGAGGCTGCGGGGGGATTTTTTGACTGGTCCTCCATACTATCGCGACGGAGCCCAGTTCGTCCCCGAACCACCTAGCGTTCCTGGGGGCATGATGGTGCTCAGCCACGATACCCAGTCCTGCACCGCGCTCCGCCATTGTGTGCTCTAAGAGCGGTAATGCTTGACGGGCGCGGTGCAGGTTGGATTGTAGGAGCTTGGTGCCATTATGATGATGTTTCCTTTTCAATTACCACCACTTTTCCCCCAAGCTGCCACTCCCTGTCGCTATCGCTCTCATCCTTTGGGCGGACGCACTTCTCTCCCCTCCTCTCTATATCCATTTCCTCTTCCCTCTACTTTTCTTGGGAAGTGGGAGCCTTGATGACTGGAGGAGGGGGCAAGGATTCAGCTGTCCCCTCATTCTCCCTTTCCTCAGTAGGAGTGGCAGTGGGTACGGATGGCATCGGTGCGGGTGCCTCAACGACTACCCTCTGTCCCTTCCTTACTTTTTTTTTGTTTGGGTGACAGGCCGGTCCTCCCATCCTATGTCCCGACGCCTGTCCCCTTTCTTCGCAAATTTGACACTTGGCCTTTGCTTCGCAGCCACTGGCCAGGTGTCCTTCCTCTCCGCATTTGTAGCAATTACGCCTTCTATCGATGCTGTTGCCACAATTACTCTGGATATGCCCTTTCTTGAGACACCTGTAGCATTGTAACGGCCTCGCCTCTAGTAGGTCTATTCTGACCTGCGCCCACCCTATGCTTATCTTCCCCCCCTCCGCGGCCTTTTTTGCTGCCGCCAGGGGCATTGTAGCCACAAGGTTCCAAGGCCAGCCGGTGTGGTCCTTATCTTCCCGGTTTTAATTTCTTTTATCCCGCAGCCTCCTTTCTTCCCCACACATTCGGCTGCTTCCTCTTCTGTAGTCGAGATTTCTAGACCTCTCAGCCTGATCTCTCCCATCTTTTGGGGGCGGTTCACTTTGGCCCTTTCTGCCAGAATCTCCCTCAGTCTATCCGCAAGCTTGTCCACTTGCTCGCTTCTATTCTCCCCGGGGATCTCCAGAACAAGAGTGCCGGTGGCACCTTGCCTTGTTCTTATTTTAGATATCCCCATACTGTCTACGTCGATCTTCCTCTTCACCTCTGCTAATAACTCTTTGTATTTGCCCTTTTCCGCCGTGATTGTTATTGCCGCGGTGTTCGGTACCTTCCGTTTCGTTTTCTTCTTTTCTCCTCCTCCGGCCGGTCCTTTTTCCCCTGCACTAGCGGGCTGCCTTACTTGTTGCAGTCTCCTTTCTTTCTTTCCGCTTCTCCTTCCTTCCCACCACCTTCGTCCATTGCTCCTGAATTTGGGTAGTGGGATTCTCCTGTTGTTGCCGCGGTAGCCGGGAGTATTCCTTCTCCCCCAGGGGAGGTGGGGTAGAAGCTTTTCGGTGAGTTACCTCCCTTCCTGTCCCTGTTTTTCGGCCGTGGTTACCCGCTTTTACCTCCGTTCCCTTCTTTTTCTTTTTCTTCCTCTCTTCTCTTTGGGGAAGAGGTCTGTCCACGGGGTCACCCCTTGCCTCGAGTCGCTTCTCTTCCTTCCTTTGACTCATCGCGATTGCTCCTTTTCCTTCCCTTTCTCTAACGGCCGCTCATTCATTGCCTTGAATAGCTTGGCCGTTATTCTTTCTTCCATGGATTCCTCCTTTTCCTTTTCCCTTGCCATGTTCTGGTCTTCGATCGTTATTCTTGTGTTCAGCAAGATGTCCTCCCTTATTTTAGGGCCAGGTTAGTTTTTTCCCTGCGCCCTTGTCTCTTCTATTATGGGGTGTACCTTTCCCCGCTTTACCTCTCCGGGCTGGACCTCGATGGCCCCAACAACCATCGGGTTTACCTCCTCTGTGTCGGCATCCGGGAGCATGATCGCTCTCCCTCAGGTTCGCGTCCTCAACTCTTCCTCTTTCACATACTTCGGATGAAAGGGATTCATCGGTGCAAACAACGTCGGTGTTGGCGACGCCTCCTTTATGGCCCGCACTGTCTCCCATAAATCCTCCATCCCCTTCCTCATCGCCTCCTGCTCCGTTTGTCGTCTTTTATTCTCCTCACGCAGCTCTTCCGCAATCTCAATGTTCTCCCCACTTTTGCCCGTGTCCATTCTCTTGACCATGAGCGTTGTCTCAGCCGTAATTACCGCCGAGGCATCCCTCAGTACCTTTACGTACGTCCCTTTTAAGTTTTGGACTTGACCGAAAAGCCCAAAATCTTCATTGCCACTTCCAAGACCGAAGCAGCCAGGTCCCTAAACGGGGCCTCTCCCAGTTCGTCGGTCAACCTCCTCAGCTCCACCTTGTATTTGCGGTTATCCGAGCAGTCCCGGAATGTCACGGCCGGACCCTCCAATCCTCGTATCAGTTCCTCCTCTCTTTTCCTGGCCATGAGCCCCTCCTTCTTGGTCAAGAAGGCCAGTTATTTCCTGTTCTCACCCGTTGTGGTTGGTCTTCCCCTTGGTCGAGTGGCCTTTTCCTCGAATCTCTCCTCGTCCGTTTCCCCATTCGATTTTCTGGGGATATCGTACTTCCCCTCCTTAGGGGCTACCACCTTCTCTCTTCCATCAGACGAGGCTAATTCGGATGAGGTCCCTACTATTCTGACAGGCTACCTCGATCTGGATCTGGAGACGCTCTTTAACCACGCACTTCTCCTGGTGCTGGCGTTGCGGAGACCCCCTCTCCTTGCCATGTACCTGCTGATCGGGATGCTAGAAGCAATCTCCGCCTTCCCCTTTTTAGAGCTGCAGGGAGCATGCAGCTCAGTTATGTCCTTGGACGTTGCCGTGGTCGTCATAGTCTGTTCCAGGTCCGAGTTAGGTTTGTTATTATAAGAATCGCTCATTTTTGTCTAAACCCCACAACTCCGTACGGCTCCGCTGCCCGGGCGTGCCCGCATCCCCCCCGGAAAAGGGGAGCCCCCGAGTTCCCCCAGAGGAGCAGCATGGCTCGGGTCGGCGAAATAATCATCGCCGATACTAGCCTCCTGCCCCCTACATGCGCCCTAGCCATTATTTCTGATGACCAGGCCGCTTTCGGGGGTCCCATACCTCCGACAATACGGGCACCGTACGGTTTATTTCGCTCTTTTTCTTTTTTTTTTTTTTTACGAGGAGGAAATCCATCATGGATACCCTGACCCTCTGACGGGGAAGGGCCAGGGATATGCCGGACTCCTTCCTACCGGCTAAAACCTCCCCGGGTGGCGCTGCAAAGGGACTTGGGCCTGGACCCCGGAGCCACACGTGACTGCTAATCGGGGTCCCGAGTCCAGGTAGACTTACCGTCTGTCCCTAAGGGGTGGAGCGGGGAGGGGGGAGGCGAGCCTGAGCTCTCCTCAACCGCCGCTCCCCAGGGAGTAAGGGGGAGGCGAGCCGGAGCTCTTCTCAACCGCCGTTCCTCCCCTCCTCCACCCCTCACGCCACGCCCGTGTAACCGAGAAAGTGAAGCCGGCAAATGCCTGCACTTCAACCCCCGTTCTCGATCCGGCGGGGCGCCGCCAAGATATCGTTGTGTGACTGACTGACCCACCGAATCGGCCAGCCACCCTATATTGGGAGGGTTAGTTAGGACACTGGGAGTCCCCGCCTGGTGTCCCACCCTCCCGCCCGGCGGTTACGGGGGGAAATTGTCCCCTAGCCGCCGGGCGCTCCCACCTCCAAAGAAGGAATGGGAGGGGTCTACTAACCCCTTCCTGCACGCCCCACCCTAATGGTGGGCCTTGCAGGGGGGGAGAGATGTTACAACCGGTGGCATGCCACCGACACTCTCTCCCCCCCTTATTGTCATCCGACTCCCATGTCGGTGGCCAGGGGACTATGGCTGGGGAGGGACAGATGCCCTGCCCCCCTCCTACTAGTCTCCCTATCTGCCGATGATGCGGCAGAGGGCGGCTACTCTGTCGCTGTCCTATTTCCCATGATACGTGGTCTCTTTGCCCCCCGGACGCTCGCCCTGTGAGGGGCATCGCTCTTGGGGGCCCTTCCCCTCACATGTACGGGAGGGGGGAGCAGGTTGCAGGGGGGAGGCGGTTGAGGTTATTGCCTCAATGCCTCCCTCAGTGCCTCTTCCTCGGAGGAATTAACACCCTCCCTACTCATGTTCCTGTTTCCCCGCCACTCCCTATGGCGTTGCCTTCTTCTTTGTCTTTTCCCCCTCCCTTCCACCTGCCGGCGGATCTCCTCCGCTGCCTCCTTTTGCAGCATTACTGCCTTGCAAAATGAGGCAAAGTCCTCCCAGTTCCTCTCGCCCTCCAGCATTGCCCTCACCACTGCTGGGAGCGAGAGGTCCCGGCCTAACTCCTTGACCACGACTCCGCGCTCCACTGTCCAGGCTGGGCAGTCTTGCAAAGTGTGTTGCGCGGAGTCGTGGTCGTGGTCACAATGGTGACATTTCGCCGTGGGCTCCTTTCCTATGCGACACAGGTACTCATCGAAGCATCCATGCCCGGTGAGTACCTGTGTCAGCCTATACGTCAGGATCCCGAAGTTCCTGCCTACCCAATGTAGGCAGAGCTGGACAGCCTCGACGACCCTCCTCCCGTATGCTGCATGCGCCAGCAATCTTTTCTATCTGTGGAGGAGGGCCTGCCGAGTTTGGTGCTTCATTTCTCTTATAGCTCTGGCGATTGCCTCGTCTTCCCTTATCCGCCCCTGGAGCTCCTTCTTCCGAAAGTACATCCTTCTGTACATTAACGCCTGGAGCTCCAGGGGGACATGCTCGCCAGAGCCGTCACCGCCACGTGGGATATCGTTCTATATCCCCTGATGACCATGGCCGCCAGTGTTCTATGCGCCTTGCGCAACTGCGCACGCATTCGGCGATTGACGGCCAAGGCCTCAGCCCATATGGGCGCCCCATATAGCGCCACCGAGTTCAAAACTCCCACGTGGAGACGACGGGCCTTTTGTCCTGGTCCCCCGATGTTGGGCATAAGTCTGCCCAGCCTTATTGATATCATCTTAAATCGGGGGACCAAGCGGCCTATATGTTCCTTGAAGCACCAAGTGCTGTCCAGGATAAGATCCAGATATTTCATCTGGGCCTCAATCGGGACCCTGTGCGTACCTACTCTTATCTGAGCCTGGGGTGATTTAGCTCCTTTGTCATGGAGAAAAATGGCCTCGGTCTTCTTCTCCGTCACCCCCAGGTCCAGATCCCTAATGGAGCCCACAGCGATTGCCACCGCCAGATTAGCCATATTAATGGCATCCCTGCAGTCTCTCCCCCCGGCCAGGATGAGTATGTCATCTGCGTAACATATCATGTTACAGCCGGGGGGGAGGGCAGCACGGAGTAGCGCATCGTACCCGAGGTTCCACAGGAGCGGGCCCAACACGGACCCCTGTGAAACCCCGCAGTACATCCCCCTCTCGCGTACCTTGCCGTCGGCATCGGTCCAACTGAGACGCCGACCCCGGAAGTAGTCCTCAATGATGGCCGTGAGGTAAGGTGGGAAGGTGAAGTGCTCGCGCATAGCCTCCACCACCTTACCCCAGGGCAGGGTGTTAAAGGCGTTGGCGATTCTAGTGACACCGCCACCGCCACCCCGCCCTACTCCACAATGGCTCCCGAGAGGAGTCTGAGATGCTCGGTCGCGTCTATTGTCGATCTCCCCTCTCGGAAGCCATACTGGCCGTCACTGAGGTCCGGGCCCTCCCGGAACATATGTTCCTTGAGGCGGGCTGCAATTATCCTCTCGAAGACTTTGTCTGCCTCGTCGAGGAGACATATGGACCGGTACGCGGAGGGGGAATCCTTTGGCTTGCCCTCTTTATGGAGGAGGACCACATTAGCCTTCCCCCAGACTGGAGGGAACCTTCTTTCCTTCATGGGTCCCGTAAACAGATACGAGAGCCTTTCACATATGTACCCCGAGGCCAGGATAAGGACTCGGCCGAGGATTCCATCGGGTCCGGGAGCTTTGTTGCTCCTGACCCCTTTGATGGCCCCGGCCACCTCCTCCTCTGTGACCCCCGGTACCTCCCCTTGTTCTTCTAGGGTAGGGATTATTCGCGGGACCACAGGAAGCCCCTCCCGAATCGGGAAAAGGGTCCCCATAACCCGTTCGAGGAACCGGGGTCCAACGTCACCGTTAACGGGGGCGTCCATGGTTTGAGTTTATTCATAACCATTCTGTATGGACGCCCCCACGGATCCGCATTCAACGAGAGGAGGAGGGTGTCCCATCCCCTTCCCTTGGCCGCCCCTATCGCTTCCCGCAATGTTATAGCGGCTCTACAAAATACAGACGGCCAGGGTGGCCTCGGGGTTCTGGTCCGTGTCGTTACGGAGCCTTCTGAAGGTCCGCCTGAGGCGGACCGTCCTTTGCCTTAACTCGGCTATGTGGTCGGTCACCACCAGGCGGACCTTTTTGGGCAGGACCTGACTCTGGGCATGGACTCGTTGCACGCAAGTGCAATGATGAAGTCCGATACCGCAGAGTCGAGGTCCTGCCCTTTCTCTTGTCGTGGCCAGGTGGCAACCTCCAGAGACAGCTCGAGAGCCTCTGTATCGAGTCTGCTCAGGGCCCATCTTCCTGGTCGGGGTTCATCCTTGTTTTGTGGCCCCAGGCCCTTGAGGGTGACGGACAACTCCATTTCGATCAAAAGATGATACGAGAGGGATTCCAAGTCGTCCGCCACCCTCCAAGACTGCACCCTTTTCAGGGCCGCAGGGGTACCCCAAGTGAGGTCTATTATAGACTCCCCTTGCGGCCCCACGAACGTGGATTTGTTCCCCTCATTTATTGAGTGCAAGTCCAGGCCCGCAGTCCATTCTTCCACTATTCCCCGCCTGTCACCCCGCCGGGAACCCCACAGCAGTGACTTTGCATTAAAGTCCCCGGCGATGATGACAGGCCCAGAGAGGTACCGTAACATGGCCTTCCCTATATCATCGAGCCTGGATCCGTAATTAGGTAGGCCCAGGCTCTTTGCTGGGGGGAGGTAGACCCCGACCACTATCAGGACCCCCCACCTGACCACGACAAAGTGTCTCCCGCTTTCCAACAGGACAGCAGGAGGCGAACTTTCATTTGCCCTCCATACAATGGCGACGGAGCCCAATTGGTCCCCGAACCATCTGGGATGATTATTGGGGATTTTATAGGGCTCCGCCGCCACTCCTAAGCCTGCACCGCGCTCAGCCATAGTGTACTCAAAAAGAGCAATCGCCTGTCGAGCGCGGTGCAGGTTTGATTGGATGAGCCTAGTTGCCATTATGACGACTGGATAACGAGCTTTTCAGCTGGCTCCTCCGCTCCTTCGCTCCTGCTGTCCATAACCGGGCGTACCTGCTTCTCCGCCCTTCTCTCCACTTCCATCTCCTCTTCCTCCTATTGAATGTTGTCAGGAGTAGGAGGTTCGGCAGATGGAGAAGGAGGGGAGGGAGATTCTTTTTCCCCTCCGACTTCCTTATTCACTGGGGGTGGGACTGCAGGCTCGGGTGGCGTCGGTGCAGATGCCCCGAGTGTTTGCTGTCCCCCTTTCCTTCTTTTCCCCTTTGGTGGGTGGCACGCAGGGCCACCCATTCTGTGCCCAGAGGGCTGTCCTGTCTCCTCGCATATTTGGCATTTGGCGGGGGCGGTGCATTCTCCGGCCAAATGGCCCAATTGACCGCACCTATAACAGTTCCCCCGTCTGTCGATGTTACTTTTGCAATTCTGCTGGACATGGCCCCTCTTATTTCGCTCTTTGCCGAACCCAGGAATAACCGACGAGGAGGTAGCGAGCAAATCACGAATTGGTAATGATTTTTGTAGAGCATTTTCAAATTGAGTGAATACATATTCTGAAACTTTTTGCAGCTTTTCGCGCGTACTTCCGCCTTTTGAAATGTCTTTTTTCCATCTATATAGTTGTTTCTTCGAAGTAACACGTTTAAATCTGGCTTGGACTGTCGCAAATTTTAATTTATATTTTTTCCCTGATTTCCAAAATTCAATAACTTTACGTTTATATTCTTCATCGCATTCTTCTATATTTCCGGTAGATGAATTTAAATTAGAATTCGTAATATCCTTAATGTAATCGTCATAATCATTTTCCGCAACTGAAACTGTTTGTGGAATAACACTTGCTTCTTCTAAATTCAAAGTAGTGAAGGTTTCTATATACAGATAATCTTGAATGGCATCTTTTATCATATTCTCTAATTGCAAACTAAATATTTTCTCATTTTCGCTGATAACAGTTTCAACATTATATTCAGGCAGATCAAAGGCCATTGTTAACAATTTCAAAATGTTCTTTGCATTTAGCGCCATTTTATTTCCTAAAATATAGAAAATTGACGAAAAAAAGAAAAAATGAAAAATACTTGAAGAAATAAAAATAGGTTAGGTACTTATATACCCTGGGCGACCCGAACTCGTACGCGAGTGAACGGCAGCCCAGTTCGCCTCTTCGCGGCGTCCTCGCAAACTAGCGGCGCCCAGGAGACTCGCGCGCTCGGGCCGCGTCCGCAGCACGGCAACTCGATCCGCGTCAAGACGTCGACTCGTCGCGTGCTCAGGCACGGTCTTGAACAGAGGTGTTATATTCAATATACAGTCCGTGAGAAAGCTATGTTAGTTTTCGCACCACCGCAAGACGGTATGCGGAACTTGCTTTGTAGTGAGTGAATTCTTCCGCTCTGTATAAGTTCCGCTGTGTATAAGTACAGGCACGCGATAGCCCCGAAGAGCGTTCGTATTCAGAGATGACAGATGGAGGACGTGGCTTACGGCCCACAAATGGAGTATAAAGCCCACTTTTAATTCTACAATTTTTACATCGGATTTGTTTCCAGCGACATGAAAATCCCTTATTATTTCCTTAGATTTTAGAAACATCTCTAATAACCTGAGCTTAAATGCAACGAATTAATTACTCGTTCTTGTAAATACAAGAGGCAGTTCCCACAAAATCGGTGAGTAGCATAAAGGTAGATTTACTTGTAAAAAACAGGTATTTTTTTATACGTGCCTAATCTTACTTTTAAGGGGTAAAACATCCCCTGAAAGATAATTCGCTATATTTGGTTTTGGGGGAACATCTTCGAAACCGTGAAAGATAAAAAATTGTTTGAGGTAAGTTTAATGGTAATTAACGTTCTTGAAAATGGTATAATAAAATTTTGTAACAATTTGATATTTTGCAAAATACCACCATAGCGAGTTGTTTACGGATTATTTTCCAAAACTGGCATTTCGGAAACCAACTTTGTTATACATGGTTGAATTTGGCGTGAAATTTTCTTTAATTTTTGTCCTAAAAAACTTTTTAAAAAATTTTTTAATTTTGCAAAATTAATTGATGGTGGTGGGGGTATTTTGCAAAATATCAAATTATTGCAAAATTTGATTATACTGTCTTTAAGAACGTTAATTACCATTAAACTTTTATTTGAAACATTTTTTTTATCTCTCATGATTTCGAAGATATTCACTCAAAACCTGTCAAATTACCTTTCAGAGGGTGTTTTCACCCTTAAAATTGCACCATTGCCGATATAAAAAAATTCGTGTCTATTATTTTTTACTACTCTACAAGTCTACTGAGTTTAAATAAAATCGGCGATTGATACAAAGGTAAGTTTGCTTGTAAAAATTCCTGAAAAATTTAGTGATTAATCATTGGCCAAATTATTACTGAAATACTGCTATCCCTATGAACGTTTAGCTCATTGTCGAATGGTAGAAGGAAGTCAACTTGAACATTTAATTAATTGAAAAATGTTGCACATCTTAAAAGATGAGATAAAGTCACTTTGCACAACAGAAAGGGTTTGGAGTCATGAAATACTACGGGAGTGACGAACCGTGGAATCCTCGTTTCTGTTACATAACATGCAGACGCACACACACACACACACGCACACACACACATGCGCGCGCGCACACACGCACACACACACACACACACACGCACGCACGCACGCACAGCACATATATACACACACACTCTCTCTCACACACACACACACACACACACACACACACACACACATACAAGAGGTGTAAATCCGATCGTGCAACCTCCACGCGGTACACCTTGGGTAATGCCAATGCCGACGGTACTGTAAATTTGAAGCTTCATAACTCGGAATGTACTTAACAAAAAGATACTTTGTTGTAATGTTTTGGAAAGCTCTTGAAATACGTTATAAGAACATGCCAAAAAAAGTAGAGCGTTCCATTTGAAAAGTTTAAAGTGACTTTGCCCTGACCTTGTTGATGCTAGCCAAGGTCAAACTGATAAGATCAGTAAATAGACCATTTTAAACCTTACAACTTTTGCCTGAAACATTTTTTCCAGAAACTGATTGTTTTCGAGATATTTTATTGTTTGAAGACTTTTTGAGAACCCTATATTGTATGTATACAGGGTGCACGATTTATCTGAAAACATTGAAATATCTCGAGAACTATGCATTGGATAAAAAAAAGTGGTTGATGAAAGTTGTTAGTTTCGAAGGGAGACATCCAATGATACCAAACTCGACCTCCCACCCCACCCCCTGGGGGTGGGGGTTGGGGGCAACTTTGAAATCTTAAATGGAAACCCCCATTTTTTATTGCAGATATGGATTCTACGTCACAAAATACGTAAATTTTGTCCGAAACTTTTTTTTGATTCGTGATAGATGGCGCTGTAATCGCAAAAAATTATATTTTCCGCAATTCTTCAGAAATGATCATTGGATTGAGAAATAAAAAATACCTGTTCAATATTTTTAAAGAACATAATAAAAGTTATCCCCCCCCATCCTCTCGGGGTAGGGTGAGTGGTAACGTTCAAATCTCAAATGGGAACCCGGATCGAAGAGGGAACTGCTCGACGCTCCACTGTGGGTGCATGGCGAACTACGGCTTATTATAAAAGGCAGTGCAAAATTTCGAACATTTACTCTAATTAATTGAACAGTGAGAGGCAAGGGGACTCACATTAAAAAAGCACCCCGATCTGTAAGAGGCAAGGGGACTCACATTAAAAAAGCACCCCGATCTGTAAAAGGCAAGGGGACTCACATTAAAAAAGCACCCGAAGGGAACATAAAACTACTACGTCCTCGTCGTTGTTCCTGTGTAACGCTAAAAGTAGTTTCTCGGAAAAATTCAACGCTATCTATCACGAATGAAAAAAATTATTTCAATAAAAATTTCACGTACAATCTAATTCTGCAATGAAAAATGTGAGTCCCCATTTGAGATTTGAACGTTATCACCCACCCTGTCCCGAGAGGATGGGGGGGAATAACTTTTATTATGTTCTTTAAAAATATTGAACAGGTATTTTTTATTTCTCAATCCAATGATCATTTCTAGAGAATTGCGGAAAAAATAATATTTTGTAATTTCAGCGCCATCTATCACGAATTAAAAAAAAAGTTTCGGACAAAATTTACGTATTTTGTGGCGTAGAATCCATATCTGCAATAAAAAATGGGGGTTTCCATTTAAGCTTTCAAAGTTGCCTCCAACCCCCACCCCCAGGGGGTGGGGTGGGAGGTCGAGTTTGGTATCATTGGATGTCCCCCTTCGAGACTAACAACTTTCATTAACCACTTTCTTTTATCCAATGCATAGTTCTCGAGATATTTCAATGTCTTCAGATAAATCGTGCACCCTGTATAATAAGATATATGTATAATACAAGGGTAGTCCCAGAAGTACCTGACCTAACAAAGAAAACAAACATTTGAGAAAAAATATCTTTATTTCTCTACATAGTTTCCTTTTAGCTCAATACACTTTTCCCAGCGATGTTCAATAGCTTCGATATTGTGTTTATAGTGGGAATCGTCTAGCTCCTCAAAATAGCCATCAACCGCAGACTCCACCTCTTCATTGTTGGCAAATCTTTTACCACCGAGTCATTTTTTCAAGTTTGGAAACAGAAAATAATCTGAGGGGGCTAAATCTGGCGAATAGGGTGCGTGAGGAAGCAATTCGAACTATATCTCATTGATTTTGGCCATCGCGATAACAGATGTGTGAACTGGTGCATTGTTTTGATGAAACAAACTTCTTTCACCAAATGCGGCCGTTTTTTCTTGATTTCATCACTCAAACGCTGCAATAAGTTCGCATAATACTCACTGTTGATTGTTTTTCCTTTCTGAAGATAATCAATGAAAATTATCCCACGCACATCCCAAAAAACTAACGTCATGATCTTGCCTGCAGATGGAACTGTCTTCGCCTTCTTTGGAGCCGATTTTACCCTTTCAGTCCATTGTTTTGACTGTTCCTTCGTCTCAGGTGTGAAGTGACGGACCCATGTTTCATCCATGGTTATGAATCGACGCAAAAACTCGACTATATTGTGAAACTTTGCCAAATACTCGATTAAAACATCCTCACGACACTGTTTTTGTTCTATTGTGAGTAATCGCGGCACCCATCTTGCGCGCAGTTTTCTTATGTCCAAATTTTCAGTCAATATGCGATGTACAGCACTTTTTGAAATGCCTACCATATCTGCTAACTCGCGCACTTTCAGTTTACGGTCGTCCAATACCATTTTGTGGATTTTCTTCACCATTTCTGGCGTGGTCATCTCATTTGGTCGACCACTGCGATGTTCGTCTTGGCAGCTCGTACAGCCTCGTTTAAAATCTGCCACCCAATATTTTACTGTTGTAAACGAAGGAGCAGACTCCTCCAGAGTAGAATCTAACTCCGCTTTGATATTGGTTGGACTGAGGCCTTTCAAATGAAAGTATTGTATCACATAACGATGACCAATTTTTTCCATGTTTACAAAATCATTGAGAGCGTTCACTTTTGATGGCTGCCAAACAAATATTAAACAACATAGCGTCATCAAATTTCAAACTTAAGCTTTATAAGGTTGGCACTTTCTACCATAGTCATTCTTTTCAAACAACAACCGCCATCTATACGTCAGGTCGGGTACTTCTGGGACTATTCCCATACTTGCCACACTTTTGCTCCCACGCGTCGTAAGACCCTCGCGAATTCAGACGAGTGGATTGCGCCAACAGTTCTCATTCGGTTTGAGCGAAGTCTTCCATGCCTTCATTAACTGCAGAGAATAGCTCTGCTCTCTAGAATGCTTTACTTTATATTCTTTCTATGAGAAAATAGGTTTGGACATGCTTAAGTCAAATGGGAAGGGGTCTAAAACAAAGATAGCCACATCTCGTTTACTTTCTCGGTTTGAAGAATGTATCTGCGCATGCGCTACAACTCCGAAGAGTAAGAGGAGGGGATGCCTTATAGTAGCTATAATATTAAGCGTGGTCTACAATGGCCGCAAGCAGTAATAAGAAAGCGTGAACAGTAAGAAATGGACCAACCACAGTTGATTATTTTTGTCATAATCGACTATGATTGGTTTATTTCTTACCGCTTACGCTTACTTCTTACTGCTTACTGCTATTGTAAGACCATGCTTTAGACTTCGGAAAAAAAACTTCTGTCTTTCAGTCGCTCTGTGAACACGAGATTCATCGGTTGTGTGTCTACATAGTAAAGTTTAAGTGTGTCTACATAATAAAAATGTACGCTGCCGATGCTGAAGTGAACGCTAAACAAGCAATTTATTATATATCTGTTCAAGATGAGGACGAGGCTCCACCGTGCAAAGAAATATGTGAGAGGTAAGTATCATAACGCTGTTTCTTTTAATTCATTCGTAGTAACTTTTCCGAGATTCAGACATGTAAATTTTCTATATCTTTTCAGCGTTCCACGGCCTCCTGCTATGTATATCTTAGAACGTCGATACGCTTTGACTGCAACTGCTTATAAATATTTGATTATCGGTATCAGAGTAGGAGCTGAGTCAGTCATAGACATATTCATTGATGATAACCGTAGCAAACAACTGCTATTGCCGATCAAAACTTGGAATACGCTAATGGGGCAACGTGTTGACATCCAAAGATTTCTGCAGGCCAATTTTTACAAGTCATCGTCTCCCCCGATGCGTATAGAAGAATTAACAATAACGTCATGTAAGATGTACAACTCACAAATTGTGAAACTCACAATTTTTAATAATTGCTTATATGTAACACCAGATACGTTAAATGTTTTATTTAGTTTTGAAAATTGCATCAATCATATGTATGGATGGTTATCAGAAAATATCTGTATAGTTAGTGTAAAATTTAAAAGTTTTGTAAATATTCTTCGTGAAAAGAAGAATTACATTACTAATATACATACTGCAACAAAAACAATACAAGAAAGCAGCGACTTTGACCGCGAGTCGCTCATTGATCGTGAATTGCTAGCATGCGCTTTAAAAAATATAATGTATAAAGCCATGAACAAATAAAAGAAGCGGCGATACCGAAGAATGGAACTATTTTTTCACACTACATCTTCACGAGTCCGATGCCATGGTTTCTGCTCACAAGATCACACAAATCGAGAGCCTACTGGTTAACGGCTAATCATCATGGATTACGATGAGAAGATGGTACAGTCAAATACTGCAGAGCTGAACATTTGATTAGCACAGCTGTAGTGGGTGATATGTATGGCGAATTTGAAGATGTCGCATCTCAACTTGTGTATGTAAAGGAACATGAGAAGCGGGAATGATTGTTACACCTTCCGGATGACAATGTGAGAAGCAACGTGATCATTAAGACTCTGGACACCGATTACAATGACATGCCTTCTCTGCAAAAATGGAACAATACTTTTCGATGTAATAATCATATGAAAAATTGTGCCTTACAGAATGTACTACAAATTTTCAATTGGTGGTCTCGAAGAAAATTATATGACGCTTAATAAAACATGATTTCAAATGTACAGATGTTTCTTCCAACACGCTTATTCCCTTTTACCTCTTAGGATTTTATATGATAATTGTGTTTGATAAAAATACAGTTCTTTATTTGCGGTATAATGATTATTAGATGTTCGAGAGACATTCGATAGATGTTCGATAGACGTTTGATAGACGCTTGATAGACGTTCGAGGAACGTTCGAGAGACGTTCGATAGATGTTCGAGAGACGTTCGATAGACGTTCGATAGACGTTCGAAAGAGAGACGTTCAATATGGTACAATAAACGAGGGGTCCGGAGTTCAAGTCTGGCCTAGATTCGACTTATTTTTTTCTTTTGACGTATGCGTGATGTTATCATACACACTGTAAGAACTTCACTAGACGTCTACTAGCAATAGGCGATGGTGGTCTAGGAGATTAAAGCGTTCGATAGTAGCCGCAGGGCCCAGGTCCGAGTCTAGCAACACCCGGCACGTTTTCCTCTGGACATGTGCGAGACGTCATGGCCGCCATCTTACCCGTAAACGTGACGTCTACTAGCAATAAGCGATAGTGGTCTTAGAAGATTCAAGCGTTCGATAGCAACCGCAGGGACCAGGTTCAAATCTAGCAACACCTGGCACGTTTTCTCTGGACATATGCGTGACGTCACGGCTGCCATCTTGTCCATAGAATCAAAAAATTCTGGGAAAGAGGGAGAGTATCAATAAAGAGGGGGTATCGATAGGGGGGTATCATTAAAGAGGAGGGGTATTAATTAAAATATTTTATTAATAAAATTAGGATTGAAAATATTTCATTAATAAAGTCAGGTTTGAAAAGATTTCATTAATAAAGTCAGGTTTGAAAATATTTCATTAATAAAGTCAGGTTTGAAAATATTTCATTAATAAAGTCAGGTTTGATAATATTTCATTAATAAAGTCAGGATTTTGAAAATTCATTTTGAAAATTGAGTTAGAACCCGCCTTGTTTAACTACTTGCTATTGAAGCGGTATTTGCGAAAATGGACCAAACACGATTGCAGGCGGCATGCTCGCGCTTTCGCATTAGGATCGAGATAGTAATCGAGGTACATGGCGGCTACATTGAGAGAAAGAACTTAGAAAAGAATTCTCAACTTAACTATAGAAAAATTTTTTTGTATCTTTATATATTATTTCTGTAATAAGAACGACTTTTTCGAGAAAATATGTTCATGTCTGGATTTAAGTGGTGGACCCTATATATCTTTGAACCGTGAATATTGCGCCTAGGAGTAGATATTGCTGATTAGCCTGGATCAACCCATGAATTTTCGTTTAGGATTATCCAAATAGATTCATTTTTCATTCCCAATAACAATTCGAACCCAATAACAACAATTCGATACAAAAAACATTTTATTTTTTGTCTGACGATCAACGAAATGCAAATGTTCAATTAGTTTGCAGTGGCATTTTCCAATAATTGGTGTAGAATACATTTTTCTTTTCTGTAAATCTTTCCCATATCATGTAAACGTTTAGTAATTTTTATTCGACCAACATTTGCTCTGGCAAGTTTTGAAATGGATTGGACCAGACTTTCATCCAATGATACGTGCAAATCTGCATTTTCTAGCTTCTTGCTTATCTAGAGCGATCTTTCTTGTAAAAATTGAAATCATCACTTTTGAATCATCTACACCAATATTCATATGTTTTAATTAATGGAGCAACATAACCATAAGTTTCTATCAGAATTCTATAACTTTCGACCGCCGTTTTCTGTTGTTAAAAAGCAAAAGCAATGCATGTCGAAAATGTTCTTTAAGAAACTCCATTTTTAAGATAGTATTAATACGATTTTTACTGCGTCTATTGCTAGTATATGACTAAATATCATGGATTAATATTAAAGCATTAAGAAATAATAACTGTGATTGGAATCTCTTCGACAAAAATTACATTATTGCCATCTCTTACAGAACCCTCAAAACTAAATTTTACTGCTAATAAAAAGTGAAATCCGCATACGCACATACGCACGCACGCGTCCATTGTTTTTTCCAAATTATATTCTCATACATTAGTTTTTTCTACATTAAGTAAATACTGATGTTTATCGGAAAGATACTAACATCGTGAAGTAAGACAATGACGTCTGCAACATCTATACGTAAACCATGAAAATTTATAATGTAATATTCAGACCATCGACATTAAACCATAAACTTTCTCGCAAATATTCATACCATACAAAAGGTTTCCAATGATAATACGAACATATTTCCGATAGTCAATTGGCACTGTACGTTGCTTCTTATTAGAATCAATACAAAATCTCTTTGAAACTTAGTAGATAGATTATACCAAGCGCTTGAATATCTGCAAACATACTGTTTTCAATATATTTCATATATGCAATAATATCTGTGCTTGTTAGATACACTCACGCTGATTCATGAACGTTCAAGCTTTGGTCCAATATAAATTGCGCCATTAAACTGAGAAAGAATAAATGCATCAGCTCGCCAATTATATATACGCCTGACATTGTCATTTCAGTCCAACGAAACATCTTGCTTACTAGCTAAATAAGAAAAAGAAAAAGTAAATATATATAATAACGGACCACCCTCCCACGGTCTTGATGTTGACATATATTATAGAACTAATCCTCCTGAGTAACAATCAAAAGGTTTTAGCTGTCGCTCATTGTTTATTAAAAAGTGATTAAGAAAGAAAGTGTAATAAATCAATATATATAGATATTATAGTTTCCTATCGTCATATCGTTCGATAAGCCTAAGTTGTTTTGTTTATATTTCTGATCGGAATGAAATAAGCTATTGTTAACATTAGATCTACAAAACGTACTTGCAAGGAATAATGAATCAATGCACGCTTCCATACAGTTAATGTTTGACTGCTGAAAAATGAAATTTTATTTGGAGAAATATTCGTGGAAATATTCCTCAATATGGTGGTAAAGAGCAACATCTTAATCATTATTTAGCAGAATTTGGCTTATAATAATTTAGTTATAAGTGGAGAAAAGAGCTCCACCTCTCCCCCGCACTTTCCCATTTTTTTATTCACAAAGGAGGATCTTTATGAATACCCCCGCCCCTGTGGGGAAGGACGAGAGTTATGCCGGACTCCTACTGACTAAATCCCCCCCTCTTCTAAGCGGGTCGGAGTGGGGAAGCTGGGCGAACCACGCCCAGCATTCCTTCCCCAGCACCCCGGCCCTGGGGCTCGAAGTGGGAGCCCTCGCCCTGGCGTGAGTGCCGCGTCCCCCCGCATTGCGCGAAAAAGAGGGACGCGGCGCTTCGACCGGGCAGGCTTACCCGCAATCCGGCCGGGTTGGCCATCCTCTCTCTGCACCACCTCCCCAAACAAATCCTAACCTAACCTAACTTATTGCACCTTATTGCACCAGGAGGGTTATTTCTATAATATAAAGGGTGTCCCAAAATTTACTTAAGGAGTAATTTTGATAGAAAACAGGTTTATAATTAAAAATCGTAAATTTTTTATTAATTCATAAAGTATACAGTATAGGGTTATGTATGGAATAGCATATTGGGTAAATGGCCTCCACGGCTTTGCTGACACATATGCACTCTTTTTTTGAAATTTTCCATGACCGTTTTGCATAAATGTGGCTGAATTTCGTTAATACAGCGCTCAATTTCCTCATTCAAGGCGTGAGTGGTCGTGGACTTGTTGGCATAAATCTTAGACTTCAAAAGACCTTAAAGAAAAAAGTCCAACGGTGTTAAATCACATGATCTAGACGGCCAAATCTGATCACCAAAACGGGAAATTACACGACCAGAAAATGACTCATGCAGTAATTGAATTGTTTCTCGGGCTGTATGGCATGTGGCACCGTCTTGTTGAAACCACATGTCGTCCTCATCCATATCTTGCAATTTAGGCACAAAAAACTGGATTATCATGTCGCAATAGCGAGCACCGTTAACTGTTATTGTCTGACCAACCTCATTTTCGAAGAAGAATGGTCCGATGATACCTCTAGCCCAAAATTCGCACCAAATAGTGACACGTTGTGGATGCATTTGTTTCTCAACAATCATTCGTAGATTTTCTAAACTCCAAATGCGACAATTTTGTCGATTAACCAAGCCATTAAGATGAAAATGAGCCTCATCGCTGAAGATGATTTTGTTCGAAAAATCAGCATCCACTTGTTCCATAATTCATTCAACGAACTCTCTTCGCTGTGCATGGTCAGTTTAAAAACCCTAAACTGTCAGCTGTCACGCTGTTTTTTTTTCGTTAGCAACACTTTACCGTACAAATGGCGCAAAATTCAAATCTTGCGTGAATTTTGGGACACCCTTTATGTCAACATCAGGACGTGGAAGGGTAATCCGTTATTGTATATATTTACTGAAGAAAATCAAAGATCGAGTTGAAGATTCCCTTTTCATAATTTAAACTTACTTGAACCGCTGAGATACTTATACTGATTAAGTTGAGGATCACCACAAAGAAAATACACCATGCGTAAATATATTGTAACACTCGAGTGTATCTAATTAACGAGAGTTTAAAATCAATCATTTGTATACAATACGGAAAAGCATATAAATGTATTCTATACAAAATATATTTTGTAATTTTGTAACCTAACTCTCTCTCTCTCTCTCTCTCTCCCTCTCTCTCTCTCTCTCTCCCTCTCTCCCTCTCCCTCTCTCCCTCTCTCCCTCTCTCCCTCTCTCTCGCTCTCTCTCGCTCTCTCTCTCTTCCCCCTTCCTCCCCCTCTCTCTTTACCCCCTTCTTTCTTCTTTCCTTTTTGGAGAGCAAGCATACAGTTTAAAAACTCGGTTTGTCTATTGAATCAATTCTGAATGAATTTAAATTAATCGCGTTCGTTAAAAGCAAATGATTCAATCAAGTAATAACCGTCATTTATGATCATATCACACCTTCTAATTAAAAATATATCTTTTCTAAACCTTTTGACTGACGTAATATGTAAGAATTTCGGTGGGACATGTATACAGTATGACTGGAAAATTTTAGGACTGATGTAATTGAAACGACGTAAGTGGCATTATTTATGTACGACGAACGAAAGCATGTAGTTCAAATTTCTGAATTTGCCAAATTGTATCAATTTGAATTCTCGCAGAGATATAACATGTCGTGTGTTATTTGCGGTTGTCACGGAATCATATTTGGAACAGAGTTATGCGATCAAGTTTTGTTTTAAATATGGTAAAACTACTGCTTATCAAACAATGCAGAACGCAAGCAGTAAGAAGTATTTGTCTCAGTCGAATGTGTTTGATTTGATAAATTTTGAGACAGTAGAGAGGGCATACAGGATGCCGAAAGAACGGAGCGTCCGCGCACTAGCCGAATTGGGGCGAACATCAAAGCTGTCCGTTCCTGAAAGACAAATAATGAATGCAGAGTTCTACGGTGTAATGGAGGTGTAATGGATCGGCTATTGAAGCGTGTGCATCCGGATTTGCACGCAAATGAAAATTGGTTTTTGCTGCACAATAATGCGCTGCAACAGTAATTCGCTAATTTTTAGCAAAAAAAACTTACTGTGCTACACCATCCACCGTACGACGGATTTGACACCGGTGGATTACTTTTTGTTTCCAAATTTTAGCTAATATTGAAGCTAAAAGGATAGCGATTCGACGATATCAAGACGATTAAAGATAACGTATCGAGCAAGCTACGAAGCATTCCTGCATTAAGAATTCCACCACGTTCTGGAGCGGCTGACGGAAAGCGTCGAACGATGTATAGTTTTATGAAAATCATATATAAAATAATTAGTAATACAAATTTTTTACCATACTTTCTGTTATGAGCTTAGACCTAAAACTTTTTAGCCACATTGTGTACGTGTGTGCTTTATAATTATATCACTACTAATACCAACTCTATCGCTTTCTTGTGACTAAGAACGCATTCTCTTACAACAATGGCTTGTTTTTCCAATTTCAATCGCGATTCTTCGCATTGGTATATATTATACTTGCTGTTACCAATATCATCCTTAGGAAATTGCAAAGAATATTTTCTGATCAAATCAGTCATATGTCTTAGTTTATTCCTATAAATTATATTTTTCATTTATTCTACATATTCAAGTATTTCTATATATTCTATATATCCTATATATTCCTATAACATATATTGTACTACGAATATACAGGGTGTCTTATAACTAATCTGGCAGAGCTCGTGGAGACATAGAGCGAGTTAAGATAAATATAAAAGTCCCATACCGTTTTGTGAGATTCGCAATAATTATCGAGTTATTAATGACAGAAATCTGAGGAATGAGTGCACGCCGAAACGTTATGAGAGGAGCATCTAGCCGCTCAGGCTAGAGAGCACTGCCCAGTTGACAAAGGAACTGTTGCCGGCGCGCGGCGAGAGGAAGAACGACGCGCCAATGTTTATGTCCTTACCTCACCGCTCCTACATCCCGCCGCACCGCGTCTAAGCTCGCGCCGATATGGCCGCTGAATATTCGCGATTACAATTATGAGATTATTTTATGAGGTACCACAGATAGCTCATACTGAATTGTAAAGATCAAGATTCAAAATTCTTTGATCAAGGAAAACATCGAAAAGGAGAAAACGATAGAGAGCGATGAGATCTACAGAGATTCTCATTGTTTTCCATCGCAATCTATCGTTTTGCTGCATTGGATCCGAAAGAAATGATATCGCGTAAAGATAGAATACGATGAACACTTTTCATCGTACTCTATTGTATTCTATCGTTAGGAGAATATTTAATTGTTAGAGTATGATAGAATTAGAGTAGAGATTCATCGTGTCCTATCGTTTTATTCAAGTCTACACAGAAAATATGTTTGGTTGAATGAACCAATTTTCTGACGAAATGAGAGAGAGAAAGAGAGAGAGAGAGAGAGAGAGAGAGAGAGAGAGAGAGAGAGAACGATTAAGAAATTTTGATTGAGAATAGCACAATTTTGTTTAAGTTAACCATAAACCTTAATGAATTGGACTCAATGTTAATATTTTCAGTTAATATTTCTCTGTATCGTTCATATTTCATTTGCAAGCTGTATCATGGACCAAACATTTTAGCCATATATCATGCATAAATTGTTGTCTTATATCGTAATTCTTGTCAGTGGTATATTAACGACAGAAGAAACTGAAAGTGCTGTATCGTACAATTGCGAAAAAGAGGACCATCGTTGTCACACGCATAAAAATAACGTGTCAAAATAACACACTCGGATTTGCGTTGTATCGCAATTATACCTAGGAATCAATTTTATGCCGAGTATCGTTGGTGCACCATTGACAACGATGGTCCTCTTTTCGCAATTGCACGATACAGCACTTTCAGTTTCTTCTGTCGTTAATATACCACTGACAAGAATTACGATATAAGACAACAATTTATGCATGATATATGGCTAAAATGTTTGGTCCATGATATAGCTTGCAAATGAAATATGAACGATACAGAGAAATATTAACTGAAAATATTAACATTGAGTCCAATTCATTAAGGTTTATGGTTAACTTAAACAAAATTGTGCTATTCTCAATCAAAATTTCTTAATCGTTCTCTCTCTCTCTCTCTCTCTCTCTCTCTCTCTCTCTCTCTTTCTCTCTCTCATTTCGTCAGAAAATTGGTTCATTCAACCAAACATATTTTCTGTGTAGACTTGAATAAAACGATAGGACACGATGAATCTCTACTCTAATTCTATCATACTCTAACAATTAAATATTCTCCTAACGATAGAATACAATAGAGGACGATGAAAAGTGTTCATCGTATTCTATCTTTACGCGATATCATTTCTTTCGGATCCAATGCAGCAAAACGATAGATTGCGATAGAAAACAATGAGAATCTCTGTAGATCTCATCGCTCTCTATCGCTTTCTCCTTTTCGATGTTTTCCTTGATCAAAGAACTTTTAAATCTTGATCTTTACAATTCAGTATGAGCTATCTGTGGTACCTCATAAAATAATCTCATAATTGTAATCGCGAATATTCAGCGGCCATATCGGCGCGAGCTTAGACGCGGTGCGGCGGGATGTAGGAGCGGTGAGGTAAGGACATAAACATTGGCGCGTCGTTCTTCCTCTCGCCGCGCGCCGGCAACAGTTCCTTTGTCAACTGGGCAATGCTCTCTAGCCTGAGCGGCTAGATGCTCCTCCCATAACGTTTCGGCGTGCACTCATTTCTCAGATTTCTGTCATTAATAACTCGATAATTATTGCGAATCTCACTAAACGGTATGGGACTTTTATATTTGTCTCAACCCGCTCTATGTCTCCAAGAGTTCTGCCAGATTAGGTATAAGACCCCCTGTATATACAGGGTGTTTGATAGCTGATCATGCAGACGAAAGTTGGAGATAGATTGGGTGTAGCCGAGAAGAAAAGTCATGTACCATAATGTCAAATTGGCAATAATTACCGAGTTATTAATTAAAGCATGTGAGCCAACGAGCGCGTAGAGAGCGGAGGGCGACCGCAGTAAGCACGTAGACATTTGATACAGGCGGAATCAGAGTCGTTCGCGCTCGTCTCTTGTCGTTTACGTTACCCCTCGCCGCGCGCGCTTGCCTACCTCCACTCTCTGACTCCGCCTGTATCAAATGTCTACGTGCTTACTGCGGCCGCCTTCCGCTCTTTACGCGCTTGTTGGCTCACATGTTTTAATTAATAACTCAGTAATTATTGCCAATTTGACATTATGGTACATGACTTTTCTTCTTGGCTATACCCAATCTATCTCCAACTTTCGTCTGCATGATCAGCTATCAAACACCCTGTATATTTGAACTATAAATAGTTTTTATCAAATTAAAATCTTAGTAACTTGATTCATTCGATACATGGATGTTCAATTCTTTTCGAGATCAACTTTTTATAAATTGCTGATCTATTGAATTACGTTGGATACTGACCTTGTAATCTCGAATAAACAGGAAGCGTGAACAGTTAACGTAACATATATTACATCTGCTCCTACAATATTACATATAACCATTGTCCCAGCCACGCAGGTATGTAACCATAACCAGAACCAGTAAGTCTGCATGTTAACTCCATAGTCAAGATCAAAACCTAAACTTCTCACGCGAGTTTCGTTGCGAGGTAAAATGATATCCAACATTGGTGAGATCATCGGCGTTACGATAAAACACATGAGTCCATTATACATAATTACTGAAAGGATAAAAGTGATGTCATGCATGATCGCCACACATTGACGACATTTGCCATACCTGCGTATATGATGCAAAATGTCTTCGTTTTTGAAGCATAATTTGTTAAAATCTTATTTTCTTCTTCCATATTTATTTCTATCCATTTTGTTTCAATTTGACACAATAACGTTTTCATCTGGCATTTTAGAAAAACATGTAGTTTAAGCTAAATTATATTTTCATCTATATTACAGTGTATCGGGACAACAATATGTACAAGAATGATGCGATTAATACCTCCGAATCGAACCAAATAATAGTCATGGTCTTAGCTGTGCATATTAATATGGTGAGCAAAGGTGGCATGCACATACATACTATGTCTATATCCTTCCCCCATACTTGATAGAGTCTCGTCAGCTAAATCGAAATTAGACAATAAATATGAGTACTTTATGTTTTTTTTTCAGTTATTGTATTTCAGTAGTTAAAATTGACAAATCACGAGGCTATTAAACAATGATTTATGATGTATTGTAGAAAAAAGAATTGCATACAAGAATATTTTTTATTCTTTGACTTGTTATTTTTTGATACACCAAAAGATATTTTATTTGAATAAAAACAATTATAACACCTAATATAATGTCTAAATAAATAACTGAAAGCAATAATAATACATAATGGTTGCATATAAAAAATCAGAAGACAATTAGCGTAACTGCGAAGATCAATATCAGCTGAGCTGCTTAAAATCGGCAACAAATGAATGATGATAAGTATGAGTGAACTCTACGTGATGTCAGTAGTCTATTTTGACCACTTATAAAATAAAATATCGCGACCTCAACTTTTTTTATTTAGAATTTATAATTCCAATTAAACACACACATACACACACAAACTCAAATATTCTGTTATAATATTATGTTGTAAATTCTTTTTATCCTTCTTTTCTTTCCACAATGAGATACTCACTATACTGGGTTTCAAATACCCAGTATAATATAATTATTTTCTATTGATGTCCTTGTACTTATATAATTATTGATAACAAATATTCTGTGCTAATGTTAATATAAATATTGTAAAAATATATTTGACACACCGTTACAAACATGTAACGAATCTTCCTTTATAATAAGAATTTTTTAAATGTATTTAAAAATATTCTGCACGTTTTTCTGCAACGTTTTTTACTGTTTTATTATATAAAAACATTAACGTCTTCCTAGTATAACAGAACATATACCATTTTACCTGAGGTGGAAGATACGAAAGTAACACAAATAAGTTGAACGATAAAATGACTTTTCTTTTTAACCGTTTTTGATACGGCCATAAACCCACTATCGAAGAAAGCAATTTCGTTGCGCGATAATAATGAGTATCAAAGAACCTCTTCATGTTGCTTCGTGGACAATTCTAAAATTTCTTTTACAGCAGCCAGAGAACAATGCATCAACGCGGAAATTGCTATAATACAGGATTCGGTAATATGCACTTATCATGACCTATGGACAATGGTTGCGATCGATAAACTTATGATGTTTAATATATAAATTTTTCATACCGCAACCTGTGTCGTTGTAACGTGTAAAATGGAAATGAAGAAATTGACAGACAGATAATGAATAAGCAGGAGAAATACAGTTATTTGTATATATCCGGAAAAATATAGCATGCAATGTGAACGATCGGGCTACTTTTATATACTTATGGTCCTCACGCACAGTATATCAGATATTAGAAATTGTTTGTTATTGTAGAACAAGTATAACAAATGCAACTTCACTTACACTATTCCGTCGTATAACAAGATGTTAGTAGAAACTTTTTTACAATATTTTGTAAACATATTTTGTAAATATCGGCTTTGGAGATGTCTATTATTTGGATTTATGTCTTTTTTAATATCTTTTGGCGACTGGCAAGTTCTACACCTCTCTGGTCTCTAATGAAACTCAAAATGTAACGCATTTCTATTTATCGTCAATCTATATGGGGTTGGACATCACTGAACCCAAATCCGGGGGTCAGTTTTGTAAAGTTCAAAATGACAGATTTAATATGGCGGGTTTGATATATAAAATTTGAGATTTCGGGAAAACAAAAAATACCATCGTATTCTACGTAGAATTTTAAATCAAAACTATTCTTAATGCTTTTTTGATTACGTGCGTTGCTTTTGAGAAAAAAATTCCCAAAGTATGAGTTTTGTCAAAATTATTCAAAATTCTCGTCTCTTTAGATTTTTGCTCTTAGACTTCGATAATTTTCTGCAAACTATAGTTCATATAAAATACGCATGAAACAAATGTATGACGATATGATATTATGATGTCTATGTATGTTTCTCCATACTATTAATCATAATTTGAAAATGAATGAATATATATAAGTGATTCTCGAGATCGTCTACCTCCTCGCGGGGAGAATTGGGCAACTTTGGATATTCAAAAGCAAAGGGCGTGTTCATAATAAGAATTTTAAATAATTTTGTCAAAACTCGTATTTTGGGAAATTTTTTCTCAAAAATAACGCACCTAATCAGAAAACATTCAGAATAGTTTTGATTTAAAATTGTGCGTAGAATATGATGATATTTTTTATTTTCCCAAAATCTCAAATTTTATATATCAAATCCGCCATATTAGATGGGCCATTTTGAATTTTGGAAAACTGACCCCATATTTGGGTTCAGTGATGTTCTACACCATATAAATTGACGATTAGCAAGTTCTACACCTCTCTAGTCTCTAATAAAACTCAAAATGTAACGCATTTCTACTTACTGTATAGGAGCCGCCATCTTGAAATTTGATAATATGGGCTAATATTTTTTCTATAAACCAAAATAAGTGAGCCATTGCTTTGAATTACTTATTTTATACGATTATATTATGAAGAAACCTAAAAAATCCAAGAATGTAGGTATTTTCTCAGTTTCGAAGAATTTTTGGCTTTCAGACGCCATTTTGAATTCCAAAACGATCAAAATATTTCAATATATATTTTTGAAGTAAAAGTATCAGAAACACGTTTCTAATACCTCAGAAGCTGCCTAAAAATCGGTATCATAATAAAAATTTCAATTTAAAAAAAAAATCGTACTACAAAAATTGTATTTCTTTGAGTACTTTTGGAAAAATAAAGGGTTAAACGTCATTTTTCGGAAACTTCAACTACGCCATTCGAAAGAGCAGTCTCAAAAGTAGTAGGATATAGATTTCCCGACCGTGATCTGTCTTTTTTCTTCAAATAGTACGAGGTTGAAATCAAAGTGAAAATTCAGCACATCTGGGCGTTAAGGGTTTAATACTGGGTTCAGGTAACCGAACATATTTTTGGGACAATAGAAATCTTCTAACGGAATTTCTTTTATGTAGCAACTAAACTACTAAGTTTTCAGTGTTTCTTGTAATGTATTAATTTCGCACATGTAATTAATAAAGAAAATATACAAGATATCTTAAATATTTAACGACGGTCGCTCATACATGCATATATAATATGTCCCGGGAGGAAAGGTCAATATTTCGTGGGGGTATAAAATGAGGTAATATGAGGCAAAAATGTTATATAAACATGGTGTCGTTTATTACTGGTTTTCGAGATACAGCTATGTTAAATTACATGTCGGAATTTAAAATTGGCGCGTCATTGGGATTTCATTCTTCACCGTAACAGAGCGCTGCAGGCTGTATATCAGTTGGAAAGGTTAGCGAAACACACCTGGTGATCTGTCCTGCTGTTTGTGACACACTGCAAACATTCCGCACGTGTTTTCTAATGTAGTGTACGCAGATATGGTTTATGCTTACGGGTATTGTGATGGCAGTGCTCTCACAGCTGTTGAAGAATATCATCGGCGTTTTCCGATGCGCCGCATTCCAGATCGAAGAGTATTCTCAAACGTGTTTAACAGCTTACGTGAAAATGGTACACTTCCCAGTGCTCACATCACATCTAAACGTAGAGTTGAGAGAAATGTTGAGGAAGAAAAAATGTACTTCAAATGGTACAAAGGAGCCCTACGACTAGTACAAGAAGGGTCTCTGCACGTACTGGTGTTCCTCGGACATGTGTCTGGCGGATACTGCATAACCAACATCTGTACACATTTTATCCGCAACGAGTACAAAATCTCCATGAAGAAGATAGAGCCACACGTCTACAGTTTTGCCAGTGGTTACAGAATCATCATGAATTGAATCCCGTCATACTTTTCATTGACGAGGCAACATTTACGCGTAATGGCATAAATGACACGCGTAACACTCATCGTTGATCGCAAGATAACCCTAACGCCATTGTTGTACGGAATTTCCAAGTTCGTTTCTCCGTCAATGTATGGTGTGGCATGATTGATGGAATGCTGATTGGTCCCGTTATTTTACACAATCGTATGACAGGGCAGAGTTACTTCGACTTTTTACAAAATAGGCTCCTACAACAACTAGAAGATATTTCCCTGACTACACGAAGAACAATGTATTTTCAGCACGACGGGCTACCTCCTCATAACACACATCTTGTGAGAGAACACTTAAATGCAGTGTTTCCACATCGCCGGATCGGTCGCAGTGGAACAGTACAGGCCACAAAGATCACCCGACCTAATTTCCCTGGATTTCTACTTGTGGGGTTGGTTAAAATGCGAAGTGTATAAAACTAAAGTAAATACACGGGATGAACTTATTGCACGTGTAATAGCCGCTGTTGACCAAATTAGGGGCCGTGAAGATGCCGTCCGACGCGCAACCCGCTACCTTCTCACAAGATGTAACGACACAAAATGTATCGAAGTATGGGGCAAAATATTCGACCATTTGTTATGATAGATGTATTATAATGTAATTGCAGTAAACTTCAACTCATATTAGACAATTCCGACGTGTAATTTAACATAGCTGTATTTCGGAAACTAATAATAAACGACACCATGTTTATACAGGGTGAAGAAAAAACCCTGGGACCCCGGAAATTTCAAAAAATATACACTTTATAAAAAAATGTTAAAGACAAAATTTGTAGCGTTGAAAAAGATCTATTTACCGATCATAATCATTTGACCTTGGGGTCATCAAGGTCAGGACAAGGTCACCTCGGATTTTTTAAATAGGACCCCCATCTCTTTATTGCATATTCTTATAGTCCCTCTTCAGACCTTTTCGAAGCACTATGGTTTTATCCAATTTGAATAAGCTGTTCTGAAGTTATCGAATTTTTTAAAGTAAGATATCTAGCCAACTAAAGCAAGATCGTAGGATGATCCAGCTAACTAAGGCAAAATCGGAGGATGATTCAGCCAACTAAGGCAAGATCGGAGGATGATCCAGCCAACTAAGGCAAGATCGTAGGATGATCCGGCCAACTAAGGCAAAATCGTAGGATTATCCGGCCAACTAAGGCAAGATCAGAAGATGATCCACCCAACTAAAGTAAGATCGGAGGATGATCCAGTCAACTAAGGCAAGATCGTAGGATGATCCGGCCAACTAAGGCAAGATCGTAGGATGATCCGGCCAACTAAGGCAAGATCGTAGGACGATCCAGCTAAGGCAAAATCGTAGGATGATCCAGCTAAGGCAAGGTCGTAGGATGATCCGGCCAATTAAGGCAAGATCGTAGGATTATCCGATCAACTAAGACAAGATCGTAGGATTATCCGGCCAACTAAGGCAAGATCGAAAGATGATCCATCCAACTAAGGTAAGTTCGGAGGAAGATCCAGCCAACTAAGGCAAGATCGTAGGATGATCCGGCCAACTAAGGCAAGATCGTAGGATGTTCCAGCTAACTAAGGCAAGATCGGAGGATGATCCAGCCAACTAAGGCAAGTTCGTAGAATGATCCAGCCAACTAAGGCAAGATCGGAGGATGATCCAGCCAACTGAGGCAAGATCGTAAGATGATCCAGCTAACTGAGGCAAGATCGGAGGATGATCCGGCCAACTAAGGCAAGGTCGGGAGTTGTCCGGCCAACTAAGGCAAGGTCGGGAGTTGTCCGGCCAACTAAGGCAAGAACGGATAATGATCCAGCCAACTAAGGCAAGGTCGTAGGATGATCCGGCCAATTAAGGCAAGATCGTAGGATGATCCGGCCAATTAAGGCAAGATCGTAGGATGATCCGGCCAACTAAGGCAAGATCGGAAGATGAACCACCCAACTAAGGTAAGATCGGAGGATGATCCAGCCAATTAAGGCAAGATCGGAGGATGATGCAGCCAACTGAGGCAAGATCGTAAAATGATCCAGCTAACTGAGGCAAGATCGGAGGATGATCCGGCAAGTTAAGGCAAGGTCGGGAGTTGTCCGGCCAACTAAGGCAAGATTGGAGGATGATCCAGCCAACTAAGGCAAGATCGTAGGATGATCCGTCCAACTGAGGCAAGATCGTAGGATGATCCGTCCAACTGAGGCAAGATCGTAGTATGATCCGGCCAAGTAAGGCAAG